TTTTCTATTGATATCTTTCGGACATTGTTGGAGACGAAGATAATCCGACTCTATTCCGGTCATTTCCGATACGAACAACATGCAAAATGCAAACATGGCGGCTTGAAAGAGTGATAAAACAAAAGGTTGACTGAAAAGAATACGGTTTGGGCCTTTGATCTACTAGTGTGTCGTAGTGAAACGATTATAAATTAAAAGAAACTTTTCTCTGAACAGCGTGATATTTGAAATTAGCAGCAGAAAGAAGTTAGAAAAACTATAGGAAGCAATATGATGTCAAGAGATTTTCGACAGGCTGGGCCGGCAATGAATCCTTATCAAGGAATGGCAGGTTTGCATATAAAGTTTTCATGTAACCCAATACTTAAGGAAGATTGATTGTTTTCATGTGTTTATTTGAGATTTTTCTGTATTTCTAGCCAAGTTCAGACAATCTTACCAACCTGCACCCAATTCAATGGTAAAGTTATTATTAAAAAGGGTATTACAAATAGGGGCCACGTCCGTATTCAAAACGTCAAATTGATGTCTTTATATAAACCCACCCAACCTGGAAATGTCAAGCAAGCCATGTACCTAATGGAAAGATTTTTTTAAAAATATTCATTTATGCCACTGTGAAACTGAAATTAGTGAAAACATCAGAGAAAAATAGTTTTGACCCACCTATCCACCAACCCAAAACTCAATTTGATGTTTTTGTATGACAACTTGAGTATGGATGTGGCTCAATTTTGTTCCCAAGGTCAGATGCTAGTGCTGTCCAAACTCTGGTGTTTCAGCTCCCGCTTAATTACAGTTCAAATCTCTGGCTGTGTTCAATTCAATTTCAATTTATTTTCCAAATATGTTACCCTGGTTCCAGGGGTTCTTGTGCCACCGTATTATAAATTACGTAATTTGTACAAAGGAACAGCGAACCTCTGGCATGCGATGCAAATCCCACTTCCTTCAAATGGTACAAAATTTGTACCAGGCAGATGACTGGTTAGTTATAATTAGCAGTCACATGAAGTGATGTGATTGGCTAAACAAAAATACTTGTTTATAAATCTCAGAGAACATGAGATATGAACTCACTGCTTAAAAAGATTTTCTATGTTGGAGAAGAGCTGCCATCGCGGCATGACTTGAGTTGACATGTTCACATGGGCATGACATGTTCACTCTATTAATTTGTAAAATATAAAGTGTTGCTTAATTAGTTAGTACTACGTGACAAGCAAGTATGATCGGTCAAGGTTGTAACTTGCAAGTTCTCTGAAGATATAATGACTTATTGCAATTTGGCCATTTGCAATAGCTGGAAATGGTTTGACACAACAGATATGACTTCAGATTTTTTGTACTTTCAACAGATTCAATGTTGCCATTATTTATAACCAATGATAGTTCTTCGAAATTGTCACAATTCCTGTCATACTGACTTTCCAGCCAGAGCTGGATAGAAGCACTGGAACTATGGCTCTGGCTGACCAAAAACCACTGCAGCTAGCACATAGGTGGCACCATTTCAGTGATGTTAATCACAGCTCTCTCAAATTATCAAAAGCATCATAAACCAATGAGGTGCATTGTTTTGTTTCGATCATACATCAGGGTTGGTAAGTTGCTGAATAAATAAGCCAAATATTATTATCATAACCTTTGTTTCCTTTGCTCAAAACAAAGACATCAAAGGGCCGTTTATAACAATGTTTGGCTTATTTATTCAGCAACCTACCAACCCTGTCATACATCACAACATCAATGAAGCAGCATTAAATGCAGATAGATTCTATGTTTTCAAAAGTTGATCATTAGCTATAATTAAACTTTTTTTTTAAAGGGCCAGTGGGGAGGCACGGCAAGCATGAACCAAAATATGTTTGGACTAACTCAACAACGATTCCTCTCACAAAGACCTTTCCTAGTGAGTATGGTATTGGGAATTTTAGTTTAGTTAGCCACTGTAGCAATGAGATTGGAAAAAATGATATTTTAATTCAAATCCACTTAAATAATTTTGTTCAGAAATTATGTTCTCATCACAGGTATGTGTGCAACATTTTCCAAATAATTCAAATAATAAGTTATACAAGGGTAGAGAGAGAGAGATGGTGCAGTTTACAGTATATAAATTGCGTTAAATCAGCAGCAGCGTTACCTTTCATCCCCTGTGTTTTTTTACTCTGAACATTATGGAGCATATGGTGGTGCAAAATGCATACTAAACTTGTAACTGTAATTATTATTATTTTCTAAATCTCATTCTGTGTTATAGAGTAAACCTAAAATAACCTGAAAAAATTATTTTTTGTTATATTTTCAAAAATACAAATTATCTTTGAGTACCATGCTGCATTAAGCCACAATGTGACCCCAGTATGCCCCACTACTGTACTTTGTTACATATTTTACTGTTATTTTGTCTCATACCAGACGATCAAGGTTTTGCACCTTAAGAGGTTAAAAAACTCACAGTATATTGTTAACTCATTGTGCCAGAATGAATGTGCCGTACTTTGTGTTTACTCTGTTTGTTGCATACAATTTTGTTCATGAAGAAGAGGGAATTAAATGGGTTAATGATCAGGAACGGACTGTCCCAGCAGGCCTTAAAATATCTTTTACAGGGCCGTCTGACAAAATGTCCGGTGACGTTGAGTTTGGGTCGGACATATGTCCGATGACCTTCAGTTCAGTTTTGACTCGGAAATAAGTCTGAATGACACAAATGAATAAACGGTAAATGTTGTAAAGATATTAAATAATTTGTTTCTTTCATACTGTTAAAACAACATTTCCAGTTCACCTTTTATACAATAGTACTCTGATTTTCCATTTAACATACAAGCCTCTAGTCCTGGGCTAGGGTACATTTTGATTTACGTCGGACAAAGCTACAGTTCGGTCGGACACCAATACACTCAGGTCGGACAAACAATAAACCTCAGTTTCACTTTGGTCGGACAGAATGTCCGGTGGTTTTCCTCTCTACGTCGGACAATTTCACGAATGGGTCGGACAATGTCCGTGACCGACCGATATTTTAAGGCCTGCCCAGCATACTGTAGGTAGTGACAATAACACCAGAAACCTGTGGATTGAGAGGGACTACAGTAGTACCTGTATGTACAAGTTAGCTAATACTGCCTCTATGGACACTGTCCTCCTTTACTATACAGTATTCATTATATTTAGCCAATTAACTGCATCAGCCTTGAGTTAATAAGTTGATGAACATTTTAACTGTTTTTTAGCCTACTGACTTTCAAAATACACCAGCACCCAAAGCACCTGACAAGCCTCTGATGCCTTACATGAGATTCAGTAGAAAGGTAGGTTTAACTTGTTACACTTAAATTTCAAAATGAAAATGCAGTTATTTTACTACAAAGGGAGGTTGGATGCAGTTAGGACAATGCCTCTTACCACTGAGTTATAAGCTTGAGTAGGTTGAGCTCTTGGTTTGTAACTTCTCTCTATGTACTTAAAAACATATATACTGTACTGCCAGTAAAGATTGATTGGTTCTCAACTGTATCATGAGAACCAGGATCAGGTCTTTAAAACCAGCACTTGTGGTGTCGTGGTCACCACGCTTGCCTTCCAAGCTGGGAGAACCGGGTTCAATACTTGGTTGGACCTCTACTCAAGGTCTTAGAATAATTGAGGAGAAAGTGCTACCTTTACATTGAGATCAGTAAAGGGTTAGATATTTTCATCCTCTCTGATAAAGACGTGAAATTGTAGGTACCTTAGATCCCTTATCAATTGAGCAATAGCTTGTTGGGAACTCTGCTCACAATGAGTGAGAAACTCGATAAACTAAGGGGAATTGGGCAACCACAACCAATGTAATCAACATTAAGTAATGATCAAATCATGCACAGGTTTGGGAACAGGTCAAGAACCAGAACCCTGAAGGCAAGTTGTGGGACATTGGTAAAATTATTGGTCAAATGTGGCGGGACCTTCCAGATGAGGAACGGCAGGTGTGTATACGTTAGTACAGTATGTACAGTTTTACAATCAATTACACATGTGATCTTTTTTCTTGCCTTTTTTGTAAAGTAAATCTCCACTGTTAAAAAACCACCTTGTTTATACAGGTATGTCCTTGCAAAACACCAACCAGTTGGTGACCTGTAGTTAGGCCATTTACACAGTCACATGTTTACTGTATGCCCTGTTCTTGATTGGGATTCAACTTTATGTAAGGCCCGTTTACACTGTACTGCGATTTTCTGCTTCTGATGGATGTGAACGTGTGGATGAGGTATGAATGTTCATATAAGGGTACATCAGTTGGACGTATACTCAGAACATTCATAATTCATCTACTCATTCACATGCATCAGAAGAAGAAAATTGCGCTAGAAAATTGCAAATGTAAACGGGGCTGCAGTGTCAATCATTGTACTGTAATCAATTGTACTCACTATCTAATAAATTCAGTACCTAAACTCTGTAGACCCACTACTAGACTGGTATATATATATTAATATTTATCCTACCTCATGTTTTATGCATACAGTATGGTAGTGGTCATGTACAGTACTTCAGTAGCAGTCTACCCAAAGCTCTTATATATATAATTGTTTTATCATTATATGATAATTGATAAACCTTGCTGCAGTGCAATAGATGGATAAACCAGTTTCTGTTCAATTTTAATAGGTCTTTTTTGATGAATACGAGCTTGACAAGGTTAGAAGAACATTTAAGTAAACTCATTAAGCTGCAATGTGCTTCAATGTGCCCACTTTGTTTTACTTCAATGTGCCTAATAAAAGTTTGTTTTGTTTGACAGCTAGGCATTCATTCATCTTTTTATATATCTTACTCAGGTCCAATACAATGAAGCAATGAAAGCTTATCACAATTCTCAAGAGTATCAAGCATGGATTGCTGCCAAGGGAAGAGGTATGTGCAGTACAATGTATAAAGCCAGTTTTCCACTTCAAGCCTACCGCACCGAAACGTATCAAAAACATTTTTAAATTTCAAAATTTACTGAATATTGATTGGTTGATACTTCCGTAGTACGCCAAAAAGCTGACTTGCGACAACTTTTCATTTTGATACGCGAATACACCCGGAAGTACGTGGATTAGCCATTCCGAAGTTGATGACAGGACTGGGGACGAGTGTTAAAAAGTGCCCAAACTAAGAAATCAACCAAATCACTAAAAAGACCACCTCAAAATTAGTAAGTATACAAAGTTTGAAGACGTTTACGTGAATACACTTCGAATAATAAGCTTTCGAAAATCGCGATATTTACCATGAAATGTACTGTAATTTTTGTTTTGCAAAAACAATCTTTTAAACTTATTATAAGCTCGAAGGGTATTCATGTAAACGTCTTCAAACTTTGTATACTTACCAATTTTGAGGTGGTCTTTTTAGTGATTTGGTTCATTTCTTAATTTGGGCACTTTTTAACACTCATCCCCAGTCCACTCATCAACTTCGGAATGGCTAATTTATCAACCTCATTTCAATCTACGCATGCTCACCAGTACGTTTCGGTACTGTACTGTTGAAGTGGACAACTGGCTTAATGTAGCTGGACAGGTACTGTAAGTAAAAAAAGAGGTTATTCTCTCGTCGTTCTCTCCTACATCAACAAATTTCATCAAACGTCCACCACAACGCCCTGCATAGGCGTAAAGGAGGAACAAATTAGGGGGCGGCCGAAAATTTGCGTGACGTTCGTGAAATTGCCCGAACCAAACAAATTCTTCTTTGTATATTTCCCAAAATTCCTTTCGGGGAAAGAGCCAAAATTTTCGAAGTGCACATTAAGTTATTCTGAAAACGTAGCACATCTCTTTCCATTTCCACCAATTTAATGCATTAATCTGCTTTATTTTTGTTTCGAAAGCCCAGCAAGCTTTACAAGAACAACAAGCACGTGCTAGAGGACTTGATCTTGCTTCATTTGATGTAAGTATTATATATTTAATAATAAAGATAAAAATACTAAATATTCTCAAACAGCAGTGCAAAATTCTGTAACAACAGTGCAAAAATCTGTAACAAACTGATCTGATTGGTGGAAAAATGCAAAGCCTCAAGTAAAGGCGGATTTCCAGTCCTCGCACGAAGCTCCTCGCAGCTCGCTGCGAGTGTTTGCATCTAATTAAAATTAACTCTTAAGCATTGTGATTGAATGAAAGTGCTCATGCATGCACTCGTAGCGAGGAGCTTCATGCGAGGACTGGAATTGCGCCCTAACGGTCGCAGTTTGCTTCAAAACAAAACAAACATGGTGACCGCGCTACATAAAATAAAAGTTGAGTTCGGATGGAAAATATGACTTTTGTCGTTTTTTAAAAAAACTTTAAAAGACTTTACTTTAAACAAGACTGACAAATTTGGATAAAACAAGCACTCGTGAGTTTTTCAAAGTCCTCAAATCGCAGTCATCCTTCGGAGTCGTACTATTTTGATGCTCTTTGAAAAACTCACTCGTGCATGTTTTATCCAAATTGCACTGGAAACCATGCTATTACCTATACTAATAATCGCAGTCATCCTTCGGAGTCGTACTATTTTGATGCTCTTTGAAAAACTTACTCGTGCATGTTTTATCCAAATTGCACTGGAAACCATGCTATTACCTATACTAATAATCGCAGTCATCCTTCGGAGTCGTACTATTTTGATGCTCTTTGAAAAACTCACTCGTGCATGTTTTATCCAAATTGCACTGGAAACCATGCTATTACCTATACTAATAATCGCAGTCATCCTTCGGAGTCGTACTATTTTGATGCTCTTTGAAAAACTCACTCGTGCATGTTTTATCCAAATTGCACTGGAAACCATGCTATTACCTATACTAATAATCGCAGTCATCCTTCGGAGTCGTACTATTTTGATGCTCTTTGAAAAACTCACTCGTGCATGTTTTATCCAAATTGCACTGGAAACCATGCTATTACCTATACTAATAATCGCAGTCATCCTTCGGAGTCGTACTATTTTGATGCTCTTTGAAAAACTTACTCGTGCATGTTTTATCCAAATTGCACTGGAAACCATGCTATTACCTATACTAATAATCGCAGTCATCCTTCGGAGTCGTACTATTTTGATGCTCTTTGAAAAACTCACTCGTGCATGTTTTATCCAAATTGCACTGGAAACCATGCTATTACCTATACTAATAATCGCAGTCATCCTTCGGAGTCGTACTATTTTGATGCTCTTTGAAAAACTTACTCGTGCATGTTTTATCCAAATTGCACTGGAAACCATGCTATTACCTATACTAATAATCGCAGTCATCCTTCGGAGTCGTACTATTTTGATGCTCTTTGAAAAACTCACTCGTGCATGTTTTATCCAAATTGCACTGGAAACCATGCTATTACCTATACTAATAAGTCAATGCTGTGGAAATATTGAAATCAGTATACCAAATCTATCTATTTTAGATGCATGACGCAAGATTTAGTCTGGAACCAATCATAGATGATGGTAATTAATGTTAACAATGGCGTTATAATCGATGCATTAGAATCAAATGACTATTATGTAGCTAGTGTACGCTCAGTATACTTTAAAAATGGAAACAAGCAAAACATTTTCTGTTGCATTTTTTGAAAAACTGGGCGTGACTGTTACAGTATGTGTAGTTTTCACACAATCACGAGTCGTGACATAATTCGTGAACCTCCGCCTTCGTAAGCACAGTTTATGGTAACATGGTAATAAGCAATGCTATGTTTTTGCTTTCACGACTTGTGATGGTTCGTATATCTTCGCACTGGCAACAGCATTGGCAGTAGCATAACTGAAATGTTTGGGTGATCGTGACAGCTAGCTTCTAGAAGATAAACCCCTCCCGCCGCCTCTTTGCCTGAGCTTTGCGTCCATGATACCCAGGACTAGAGGGAGCTTTTCACTTTAAACCTGGTGTTCTTAGCCCAACGTTACTCCACTGCGTATTAGATATGTACTGTACTGTATGTGTTTGCCTACTTTCAGATGAAGAAGATCGATTCTCAGTTAAACATGTAGCAGCAAGTCGTTTTCATCGAAATCAAAAACTCATGGCGGATATATTTAGTGATATAGTTGTTCCTGATCTACGCACTGGTTAGTACAGTACTAAATAATTCAGGAGCTCGTTCGAAAGCCGGTTAGCTTGGTCATGGGTTTACGAAACATGGAGCTATTTTCCCGAAATCTTTCCTGCATCAACTGAAGTCACATTAAACAAACGTGAAAATCTACCCAAACCAAAGCAACAGGTTAAATTTTAACCTGGTTTTTCAAAGCTGATTTAGGACTAACCCTATAGCCCCAGGGATGTATCCAGCCAGATATGGTGGGGTGGTGCTTATCGAGACTATGCATAGTAGACCATACTGGAGCCTACGCACAGTAGCGTCCTGAAAACGAGCTAAATACAACCTCGTTCTCAGGCTCTCTCGTGTACGTACGAGGTTGAGATAAAAACTGCTCCTGGCAGGGTCTAGTGGTACTGGAAGGATGGCAGAATATTGCCTTTCCAAATAAAATGGATTTGAAGGAAATTGGCACTTTTACCCTCACTCCCCACCCCCACACACACACACACACACACACATACACACAGTAAATACGTCCCTGAAAAATCAATTTTCCTACAAACTTGGTAAATAAATAATGGTGAATTTCTCACCAATTTTGTTCTACAATGGAGTCATGAAGTTCCAATAAGCCTTGTACAGTAGTTTCATTTGTTTAATAGTAGGGAGTTTACGATCTACGACGCGGCCGGCTCGACGACGCGCTTTCAAAACAAAGAAATTTGGTGTTTCCACAAACAATATAGTATTATGTGTTTTATCGCCATCCAAACTTACAAAGAAATTTGTCATGCAAGACAAAAACTATCAATAATTTGTGGTCCCATGAGTATTGTCAACTGCGTTGTCATTCTCAGCACAACGTTAAAAAAGCATTATTACGTCTTTCAGGCAACGCGAAAGCTTAATGCGACACAAGAGGTGTTACTAAAAGTCGAAATTACAGCAAACATTGCATCGCTTTAGCCGAACGTAGCATTTTGTAAGGTTATTTGAAAGAGTCAAATATTTATTACAGTAATCGAATTGCTTAGCGCTCATTCTTGAGCTAAAATTTAGACCGCGTCGTTGAGCCGGCCGCGTCGCAGATCGTAAACTCCCTAATGTTGACAAAATGAATGCTTCTATTTATTAGTTGTGACAACCTCTCGTATTCACATGTTAAGAAAACAAGTCAAATCACTTGGTGAACATCAGGTAAATAAATATTTCTTTAAATTAGATGCAGTATAAAATACAGAATAATATAATCTAATAGACGAAAACCATATCCCAATTAAAAGGATATGGTCAAATCAATTATGGTCAAACCAGAATTCCTCTCTATTAAACATAACAATAGAGCTGTGCAAACTCCGGTTATTTTAGGTCCGGCTCCGGCAGTCAAAACTCCGGCTCCGCAAGGAAATTTTAAGGAAATTTCATATTTAAAAGTAGAAACAGGCGAACGTATTTCAGTGTAATTTCAGAATTTATTTTATTCCTTTTTGAGCTTTCTCCTTTATCAGATATACGTGCTTCGGTGCTTGTTTAAACAATGTTTTGTAGACAGTAAAACCGCATGGCAGCGTGGTATTTTCTCCCAAAATACATCGGGGTCAGCGGATTTTATCAAAAGCGATAGCAATGCGCTTGCAGAATTTTCGAAGCCACGAATCGGATCGGAGCAAGTAATTAAACTTTATAGTAACTTCAAATCATTAAACTTAATTTTTCCATTACCAAAAGTTCATTGAAATAATTTTTCATAATTTCGTCTGCCAAAGTTTTTGCTGGAGTTTCCCGGCTCCGGCAAAATATGCCGGAGCTCCGGCGCACGGCTCTACCCTGCAAGTGCTCTACTAAATTCATTGAAATATTTCATTATTAGTGTTGGAGCGTAAGTGCAAAAGTTGAAGAGTTTTGGCCTTTGTTAACTCTGCAAACTGCTGGAAAGTGCTGTTTGAGAAGCGAGAAGCGTAAAACTGACGCGCACTGTATCTAAGAATGAACGCTCCTTTCTAATAGACGGCCAATATCTAACAAACGCTCCCCTTAAAGTACGAAAAAAGTGAATATGTCTGGTTTCTTTGAACTAGAAAAAATTGGAATCAGAACTCCAACAAATTGAGGAAAATTTTCAAGTAAAGAAACGAAAGTTTGTTGAAAGCAGTGAATCATTTAGAGAAGCGATAAAAAAGGTACTGTGTTCAACGTCATGTTTATTTCTTTATTTCAAAGTTTGCAAATTTTTCATAATGTTAATATTTTAATTGTACAACGATGATGAGCTGTCCGTCATTCATTTTTCACCTCACAAACCATGGTTATGGTGACGTCGAAAGCAGGATTAGTCATACTGACCATATTGTTTTAAAATATATACACACGTAAAAACGCACAAGTTGTTACAAGTCTCCAAATAGTTGTTACAAATATGTTCACAAGCTGCCGACAAGTTGTGTTCGCACTGCTTGTTCCCAGTTGTTGTAACAAGTTTGGAACAAGCTGTTAACAACTTGTAGCAAGCTTGATGGCATTATCAGACTTGTTACAAGGTTGTTCTAACAAGTCTGATGCGGTCATGATATAACAAGAATGTTACAAGAATGACAACACAAGGTTGTAAGAGTATTGTTACAGTACGTACCATGACTGTATCGGACTTGTTAGAACAACCTTGCAACAAGTAAGGCATTATCAAATGCCATCAAACTTGTTACAAGTTGTTAGCAGCTTGTTCTAAACTTGTTGATAACATGCGACAAGCATTGCGAACACAACTTGTTGACGGGACCCGTTGGCAGACTTGCTACAAGATGTGAGATTTTTGCGAGTGTAGGTGACCAAATAACAATATAAAGATATTCAATATGTTGTCAATCAGTGACATATACACGCGTAAAAACGCTCAGGTTGATGCAATATTGATGAAAACAGGATTGAACAATGTTTTGCTGCCCACATTGTTCACAGTTGTCAACAATATTGAACAATATTGTTACACCCGATTCAGGCTCAGCAATATTGTTCATTATTATATGGACAAGGGTGTTTTACTGGAAACTAAAACACTCGTAGAACTCAAACAGAACATTAAACGGTTGCGAGAAGATATGGATTTATGTTCTCGTGTCAAAAACAATATCTCACTCGTTCGCTGCGCTCACTCGTGAGATATTGTTTTTGCCACTCGAACATAAAATCCATATCTCTTCGCAACCGTCTAATATCCTCTATATACTGTATTATTGACAAGTGTGAACAACGTGGGCAGCAAAACATTGTTTAGTCCTGTTGAGCAGCGGGCTCGGCGTTTTTTGCCGTGTAGTTGACGTAGTAGTATGTTTTGGGTTCATATTGGTCAGTGGATGCCAGGATAAATATTCAGCTGAACCTTGCTTGTGACGTCAAACAAGGATAGGGCTGCTCCCAATGGACCTTTAACCTTATAACTAAAATTTTGATCTAGACAAAAATTTCATCACAGCTTGAAAGAGCATCACAAAATTAGTAATATTCAAAGTTTCGTTGCGAAATGTTGTAAAATGTGGATAATATAGCCTTGCGAAGTTTGCAATTTTCAGTTATTTTAGATTACAAACGGGTATCGGTTATTTTAGATTACAAACGGGTATGTTTGGGTATCAATTTCCCGTTTGTAATCTAAAATGACTGAAAATTGCAAACTTCGCAAGGCTATATTATCCGCATTTTACAACATTTCGCAACGAAACTTCGGAATATTACTAATTTTGTGATGCTCTTTCAAGCTGTGATGAAATTTTTGTCTTGATCAAAATTTTAGTTATAAGGTTAAAGGTCCATTAATCGATTATTTTTCGAGGGTTTTCCGCAATTGATTATACTTAAATCTTAATAGTAATCGGAATAACAAACCACTCTCCACAGCATGATAGATTTATTGCCATATCCCTGTAAATTCTGATTGATTCCTATTTCCTAACCACATGTGCCTTTCTGTTTCCATATAATAAAACTTACTGTTCTTTTACAGTCGCCAAGAACTGTTGAGGTGAAAGAGGCTGAAACATCAAGTTAGCATGTAAATGAAGTGAACAAACCTACATTCCTACTTTATACGGATCATGATACCTATTATAGGTTGTAGTCAGGCTGCCCTGGTAGTAGTTGACTAGTTGTAAATGCTCTTATTGTAGTTTGGTAATATAATGTCTTTTTCCCCAGTCCTCCCTGGGGAAAAAGACATTACTCAGTCACATTCCAGTCACCTCTTATTCTCTTAGGGTAAATATGTGGATGAATAAGAAATGTCTTTTTACCTACCTCCTCGCACGTTGTTGCCTAATGAGAAGGAAGGCCTGTGGAAGGCCTGGCCTGATTGCCGTTATGGAGGACTGGAAATGGGGAAAATTGCATTAGAAAATAGTTTGTTGCATCCTCGTTCCTAGGGCCTTTCGACTGCCCCTGGGAACGAGGATGTGTTTATTGTGACATGTACTGTATGATTAAAGTAATTCAGTACTAATGTTATCTTGAACATTGGAGTCTTACCTTGCTCATTTTCGCTCAAAAACAAACTTTGGACTGAATTTCTCACTCCTCGAAACTCTCCCTGGTACTTTTTGAAGTATATATTTGTATTTTTCTCACATGGTTTCCGCGCTCACCTTGAAATCTGGCTTGATCAATCATAGGGTTTGAGTTCCTGTAGAGTTACATGCAGTATAGCTGATATTATTGACTCGATACTGCGTTTGGATTGAAAAAGAGAAAAAATGGTGAAACATTTTTACGGTCCCCCCCCCCTCCCCCACCCTTCCAAATCAAAATTTGCCCCATGTTTGACTGGCATCAATCAAGCAGAACGCATCTCATTGGATGTGCATGAAAACACACCAATATATATTAAATATAATAATATCATATTTAACAGTGTTATTTCGTGCCCAAACTGTATTATCTTTAAATAACTGTATTAACTTTAATTAACGAGATTAAAAATGTTAACTACAGTCTATCTTGTCCTCATACTTGAATTGGCAATCCACGCGTCAATGATTTAATGATTCGTGCCGTTTATTATGTAAAAAACTAAACTTTAGATTGGGTAGTTCTATCATTTCCAAACCGTTCCAATCTTGCAACAGGAGAAAATAAGTACTCGGGGAAATTCGGCGATGTTTGGTGCAGTCAAACTGGACGTATCCGCACACAATACAAGTTGTTTAGCGGCAATAGACCACCAATAGATCAAGGGCCATTATGCATGCTCTCCAGGACCCCTCAATATAGCATTAAAAAGGGGTAAATGGGAACTGGGATTTGCCTGGGAAATGGGATTGGGGGTACTGGGTGTAAATAACTTCAAGGAAAGCTACGGAGTAAACTGCGAGCAGTTCCTCCTTAAAAGGAAAGGCTGTAACAATGTTGATGAAAACAAGCTTGAACAATATTTTGCTCTCCTTCTCGCTTAAACGTCTATAGAAAAAGTCAAACTATACTCCCAACGGAATACCCAATGTTTTGTCTATAATATTTGATAATTTGTAAATGCGATATTCGTCGTACAAAAACCATATATTCTGTCTCTAATTTGGGAGAATTTTGAAAAGCCACGCCTTCGCAAACTATATTCACAGTGGAATACCCAATGTTCCGTTTCGTCTTTGTAAATGTTAATATGCCTTAAAAATATACCGCTCTCGATATCCCTCCTCATTTGAACTTCATTGTAAATACAAACGTTATTCAAGATAGAAAGTTTGGTCGACTGTAGCTACGAAAGCCGGAGTGCGCAATGTATCAATTGTTCCGCTTGTTGGAACAACCACATAGGTGAAACACCCGCTCAAGGATAATCTTTTAGGTTTGCAGTTGAAACTGGATTTAGGCAAAAAAATGGCTGGGAAATGGGATTGGGAGGAAAAAGTGTTGGTTGGGAAATGGGATCTAGCACCTCCTCCCTGCCCTCCTTCAGGACCGTCCATATTGTTGAGGAAAAAATGGTGTCGTTTGCCTTGATGAATGGCCACGAAACATCATATTTTGATATCGTTTTAGAAATGCTCCCGATTAATCAATCTTTTTCGGCAATTGATTATTTTTAGCAATGATCGGTTCATCGATAGTAACGTCGCTCAATATAGTCTCAATAAGACAATCAATTTACGCTTGTCTCATTTTCTTAATCTTTTCCTCTACTGTCGCCTCATGTCTCAAAATCGAACCGATGCATGGCTTTATTTAGTGCATAATATATACGATTAGGCGATTGTAATTGATGAGTGGCACAATTATATCGATTACGAATATGAAGCGATGGACGCTGCTTCAATTTGTTTCAAAGTTGATATAATCTCGTGCAGTAATTCCTCATTAGCCTTTTTTGTTTACGCGGTTTATAGCCGATATATTATGCATGTGCAGTCAAGCCTAGAAGCTATGCAAATAAATTCTCATGACAGGTCGAACCAAGTGTTTTGTATTATACCAACTATACTGCATACAATTTATGTATAGTTGTATGATATTTGTGATTGTAGTGAAAAAGTTAAATTAAGTATACGGTACCTGAAAGATATAAAACCGGGTTGCTTCAATCAGTAAGAGGAGTGTCAATCATTCGTTGTCGAATATTCTACATTACACATTCCGCTCTGTATTCTGTGATAGCAAGCTTGGTTGATCTCGCGTGAAGAGGTATGCCGTGTTATATTCATCCCAGACGAAGTTCTGGAAGTGTTTTCAAGAATATGGCTCCAATACTCCGAAACCAGAGCTAGTTTTGTTATAAATAACTGAGATGTAACAAGTATTTGGTTAGTACCAACATTGGTAACATAGATATGACTGGTATTTCATACAAAACTTCGGATATGATTGACCGACTATGGCGTGTAGCTGTTGTGTTTGTCTTGATGAGTATCTCTACGGACAGTATTGAAACAACAAATGATATCAACAATTCAAATGTACCAGTGAGAACAACTGAATCACCAGTTCAGAATATGACAACAGTGACAGTGCAGACAACAGAAAGTCCGTTAATACCTCATGTCAACGTCACTGCAGTCACAGGTAAATATCGTGTATCAGTTTTGCAATTGTATGCATGAACTTGACTGAATTTAATACTAAGTTTAATACTAAGAATTGAATACTTAGGGGCCGATTACATGGAGCATTTTCAACCCCGGGGTTGAACTCAGCCCTGTTTACCGGGTTGAAATTTCAGCCCCGTCTGTAATACAAAACTCTATCAAAATCAAACGCGCGATTACATGACAAAATTTTCAACCCAGGGCTGAGATCAACCCCAGGGTTGAAATTTCAACCCTGCTTCAGCTAGCAGGGTTGAAATTTCAACCCCGGGGTTGAACTCAGCCCTGGGTTGAAAATTTTGTCATGTAATCGTTTCAACCCAGGGCTGAAATTATCACATGAGTTATTCGAGCATACGTGGTAGTGACTATTTATTACAAGAAAACAAAATAAAGGCTTTTTTTACTTCCACGAATCGATGCCGCGAACGTATAGTATAACGTTTCAACCCCGGGGTTGAAATCGTCCATATAATCGCAAAAAATTTCAACCCGGTTAACAGGGCTGAGTTCAACCCCGGGGTTGAAAATGCTCCATGTAATCGGCCCCTAAGTTGCATTTAGAAATTTATTCTAACTACACTTTATAGCTAACACTTTTCCTGAACGTTTGAAAACTACATAAATATAGGAAAACCAACTTTTTTACCAACTATCATAATAAACAGCGCTTTAAACACTATAATACAGCAACTTACCAGTAATGTTTACCGTCTATAAAATATATATTCACTTCGGCTCTTTCATTTTCCACCAGATAGCGCCTTATCGCGCACACAATCTGATATATCGTTTTTCGGATCCCCAACCTTGTCAGCCGAGCGACAATACTGTGCTCAACACTTTCCGGTTCTCGAAACCGCTTTTTCTTATATTATAAGAAGATGCCATGCTCTTTTGCCAACAAAACTATTAATCTATTCACGACGAAAGCGAACTGAATGCTTCGTTGCACTTCATGCAAACTTTCAAGCGAATGTAATCGTTAATGCCCACGCTCACTTTTTTGAATATCTAATAATTTCATGCCTCATTGCTATGAAAGTCTAATGATGTGTGAGAAGCAATTTCAAATCCTCGTTAGTGTTTTAAACTTGGCTTCCAAATTGTTCATGGCACTTGTATTTAGAAACCACGTCTAAAACACCAACTCGGATTTGAAATATTACTTCCAAACCATACCGGTATTTACAAGGGTATAGTTGGATTTTCTTTAGATATTGTCTCGTGTTGCTGTCCAAAGTAAACAAAGTTTACTCTTTATTCGAGGGCATCGCTCTTTTATAATTTTGTCCTCATACGGGGCGCTTAAACGGGTAAATATACGGTATCCTGTTTGCCATTTTATTAGTTCCATTTCTTTTATTATCATTCCACTTTTCAAAATTATGATTTAAGGTGGTCTTATACAAAAAAAAATCAAGATTTGCCAATTTTACAAAAATACAAAAACATGTTTATTACACTGTTCTTCATAACTATGGTGGCCCATCATTATCACCGCTATTTTCAGGAATATTTTGCACATTTTATGTTATTTTAATTATTGTTTTCTTTATAAAATTGAAAATAACTTGAATATGTATGACAAATTGGAATTGATTATTATTTCGATTTGAGAAAAAAATTATTTACAAATGTATAATAATATTAATTATAAGTTGTAATTCAAATTATTTATTATTTTAAATTTTAAAAAAAATATTAAAAATGCAACAGTTTAAAGAAATAAATTAAAATTTAATTGATAACGCTGGGCCGTCAGCCCCGTTCGATTTTTTTTTTCGAACGGCCCAGCGTTATCAATTCACTCCGTAAAGACTGGGTTCTAATTTAATTTCCCGCCATTCCACTTCCAAACAGTTACGCCATTTTGATTATTGTCTACTTACAGTATTTGAAAGATTGCATTTAATAGCACACAGGAAAAAGGTATATATCACACATACTATTGTAATGAAACGAAGAAAAGGTAAAGAAAGTTGGGAAGAGTTTGAAAGAAGAGTTGGATTAAAGCGAAGTGGCGAAGAAGATCGAAATCGTGCGCCAGAAAAAAGAGCGCTTGGTAAAATCCCAAACGATATATTGGTACAGAGGATGTCGACTACTCCCAGTGGAAGATTGAAAAAATACGAGCCATTGGATACTAGAGATTTTGTTTCATTTTCAGATTATGAAGAGCTGTCAATAGAGAATATTAAAGATGCTTGTGAAGAATTCTATAGCGCACCGGCAGGATCGTGTGATATTCTTGCCTCGGACAGAGGACCTTCGTGTACAAAAATCCGTTTTTTACCACCTGCCGAGCATGATAGGCCACAACAGTCTAGAGTTCAGGGGTCAAATTCCGCGCCAATTTCACCATCAAAGATTGGAGAAATCGACGGCCATCATCCTGAAACGCCAAGCCCCAAATTGGCCAGAACAGTTTATCCAAAATCAGTATCCATTGGGGATTTACTTCGGGCAGGGAAGTTGGTACGACCTCCACAGTTAACAACTCTCAGTTTGGAAATGTTTGATGTAGAAAAATGCGAGTGGATAAAAAATCCCTTGACATTGTCTATTGAAATAGAGGAAACCAAGTTTGACAGTGGTTGGACTTTTTTGTTGTTTAAATATGAAAATAAAACTTGATTTCAGTTTTTTGTATTATTTGGTTGCCATGAAATGAAAACTTCACTAAATGTAAGACTGGTTTCCCATTACCTATAATGTCAGAATTTAAAGTTAATTCAATAAGCTTCGGAGCCTCCCCGTTGACGAGTAAAACGTCTGGCGTTAGACAAGTAAAAAAATAAGAAGGGCACACTGGGGTGTATTGCGGCTCAATGGGTTAACCAAAATGTTAATGTCAGAACAACTAGTTTGCGTTTTTCTTTGCTGTGAACCTTTTGGGTGTCCAAATAGGATACCAAGATTTCAACATCTGGTATCCAAAATTCAAAATTGTTATCATCTGGATACTGCTAATTTTAAACTCTGATTGGAATTTATAAAGTTAATCCATTGAGTGGCAATGCTCTCCCCATGACAAGTAAAATCTCTGGTGTTAGACTGAGTAAAATGATATTAAAGTAGGATCATCAGGACATATATACTTCTTACTTAAAACTTGAAAAATATTCACGTACTATAAAATTCTGATCACGAACAGAGTATAAATTAAGGGGGTCCTCTAGAAACTGGAAGGAACATCTCAAATTTGTTTTGCCAAAGTGTATGATAACTTAACCTGAGGAAAGTAGAACATGCAACAAGACACCCAGTTTCATGAGTATTATTCTTATTATTACCACTGCCAAATAACTATAAGGTAGCTTCCCCTTTTGAAGTGAGCATATTTTACCATTAGCAAAGCAAAGGCATGTTTTACCTTCCTTTACTTTTATTATTGGAAGCACCAATGAGGTGGGTTGCATGAGGGCATAATACACCTTAGAAGTGCTTATATCACACAGTTTTGAACCAATACAAACATTAGGTTTATTTTCTTACATGTGTCCCACATTACATATTGCAATTCATTGTTTGGCACTGGCGTGACAAGCACTTCTAAGGTCTGTTTGTGAAGCTACCCATGGAAACTAGTGATATTTTGCTACTTGAGTAAGCATGCACTAAGATTGTCTGGAGGCAATACATTTCCAAACTAGGTTTCATAATGCATAGTAAGACCAGTTGCTGAATTAGTAGCATTACCAACTTACTGAAAACATGTAACTAATTTTCCTGCACTGTGTATCACAGTATCAATAACACAAAGTGTGAAATGAGAACAATGCCTAGTTTGATTTCAATAAGACTAAAACTAGCCTCTGCACAGTAAATAAATTGAAATAATTTGCAACTGCGTATGTACAGTGTATGTACATTTTATGCACATCACTCAAAGATATAAGTATTGGTTTATACTACATGTATATGTAACCCCTGAAAATATCTTAATAGTAACTTCATGTTCCTGGAGGATCAGGAATGTTTTGCTTAAGAAATCGATAAGCTTCAATTGCATTCTTAGCTTCAATTTTCTCAGGATTTGGGATCAGTCCCACACATTGTTGCTTTGTATCTGGATCAATGAAATTAACTATGTGTTCTTCATCCATCACACCAGAAACTTCAGCAACATCCTGAATGTCGTCATCTGACAAATCAATGCTTTCATTAGTGGCTCCATAATTCTCAGGGAAAGCAAACATGTGGTTAGGTATGCCAGTAGGAATTTCCAACTTATCTTGGGCACGTATTCTATGTGAATTCCAGTAATTAACAAAATTAGTACATTCCCTTTGAACAATAGGCACATAAACATAGGCAAGCAATTGGCGATCATGTGAGAAGAATGGATTGTATTGTCGTCTTTGTAGTAGGACTGTTAACTGTTGTTTAAAGAACTTCTCTAACCTTTCATGCAAATCCCGCCACCACCGCTCTATCTTATTGCTTGTTGATGGACCATATATCACAGAATCTGTAGGGTCATTCATAATTCCAGATTTGTTTATGAGATATGTGTGAATAGTAGCCATCTTACCAGTTTCAGTTCCTCTGTCAATTCTCAGATACCTAGGAAGGGCCTTTGTTTCGAACAGATGTCGAAGGTACATCTTACCCAACCTCGTACCCAGGGCCTTTGCGCGGTTCAGAGGCTCTGGTACCATCCTCGTTCCCAGGGCTTCTCGGCTGCCTGCGTTGCCGTAAGCCCTGGGACAAGCCAAACCGGAACACCACAAATTCTGGTGTTTTCCGGAAGTAAACGCGTTCTGCTGCAAGCTAAAAATGCTGACTATGCACTACTTACTGAGGAGTGGAGACGTGTTGGTGAGCAGAAATTATTGGATTTTTCTTTTGTTTCGATGTATTTTCCACCATCAAGGGAATATGTGCAGACCACCTAATGGAATTATACATATTGGGGTTTTATATTTCGTTATATCGTTAATATTCGTCAAAATGCAACCATATTTCGGTTTCGTATTACATGTATCAATTTTCATGTATAATGTAAACATGATCGAGTCGAAATGTGCTCGAAGTGGCCGCTGTGATTCGAAACATCATGGCTTCTTGTACAGATGACCTGTTTCAACACGCGCTTGTAAAGTCACTTCAAAGACTGGACAAAGCCGGACTGGAAATTAAAGAGAAGTAATTCGAAGCTTTATCGTCCATCGTATGTTGTATATTAAAAGGAACAAGAACGACATGTGAGTCTGTTTACTGGGTTACAACAACGACAATAACAATGAATCACCTAACATTTCAAGAAAATATAAATTATAGATAGATGTCATGTATGACGCCATGAGTTTTGGATTTGAATTGCTAGAATTAAATCTATATTATGTATACAAAATCATGCGTGCGTAAATTGTAAAGGTGTTTGTTTGGCCATATGCCCATCATGTAGTATGAATATTGAACACCGTTTTACTGTATATAGCACGTTTAAAACGTTATTTCCATGCAGGATAATCCTGAATCCTTCACCGATTACATGCCGTGGCAAATGAAGGAAAATAATTATGTAAAATAATTAACCTAATATGTCTTTGGCCATGAATGCAACTCACTATGCTGCTTGATACATCTGACAGTCTGACAGTCAAAAACTATGTGCATGACTGTATGGCTCAATGTATGTTAATTGTTTCAGGGAAATTTTTGTTTTCAGATTAAAGTATAACAATATTTTCTGCATTCCAATATATTTTAATCTACATGCAAGTGCACCTTCTGTTTCAGATAGGGGCCAAATCATTTGAGGCCGAATGGGATAGCCAATGATTGGAGGGTAATGTTAGCAAATTTGACTCCCATACATAATGTCAAGTTATCACTGGTCAATTTTTAAATTTCTTACAATTTCACATCGGGGAGTTCATTGCCCCCTCATTATCCAGAAGTGTGACTAAGTGTTTTCTAATATCTATCCAGGGATCCAATCTAAATCTCCACCACAACAGGATGTATACCTGAGTGATGGTAAGGGAGGTGGGGTTAACATTCTGATTTATCAATAGATTACTACACATTTCCACATTAAAAATATGAAACGTTTTCCAGTTCAATAGACTGTATCTATAGCAGGAGGCTTAAACCAGAATTTTAGAATACAAAGCAACTTTTATGTCATTTTTGTAATGGTTTAAAATCAGAAGCCTGCATATACATATACAAATTTTCAGTTTTGTCAATAATAATAGTTTATTTTATAATTTCAATTCTTACAAGATTTGCAATAAGTCAACAGAATAAGCATTCTATTCTGAACTGTTGACAGGAAACAGTGTAAATTCATGATCTCATCCAATATGACACAAGAATTTGAGACCCCCACCTCGGGCATACCAGGGGCATTCACTTAATTTGGTGTGTGAAATTCAGTGAAGTCCCCTGCAGCCAGGACAAAATGGCAAGGTAAATTTCTTCGGTCCTATCATCCTCAGGTATTCAATTAGAATTTTTACATGAAATTTCCCAAACCATTCCTTTACTGTTCTGTAAAAGCCTTTCCTAGCCGACTGCTTTATTTCAGCATTTATATAAAAGACTACGCCTTTCCTAGCCAAATGCTTTATTTCAGCATTTATATAGCCAACTGCTTTATTTCAACATTTATATAAAAGACTAAGTGACCCCCCCCCCATGACCTCACTCATTCCCAACTTGGACACTGAAAGTAAGTGTCTTCCCTGTTTGCCAAGAAATGATAAACCAGTGAATTAAGAGGCGATTGTCCTTGCATTCCCCTCTGGTATGCCAAAGGTGCAAGGATTCAAATGACTGGTGAAATTGAATATGCTTATAAGCTTATTCACTGTATTTAATTAAAAGCTATTAAAATTACTCACTAATAATACAACTGAGGAAAATTCAGAAATAGTAAAATACATCCATAATATTCCATATGCTATATTTATAAATTCCAATTGGCCATTTTAATATAGGCGGGTATTAAATAGGCCAAGTGACCAATACCAAAAGCATAATAATTAATAAAACACAATATATTACACCATTAAAACTTTACTATCGTAACTATATATTTTTAAACATTTTATATTTACAGTGTGCTTAAAATTTTACAATTATACTTGAGCACAATGTTTTAATAATAGACAACTTTATAACAAGAAAATGTTAAAATGAAGAAACTTTTTAATGGCTTCATAATTGACGTTTCTTCGATATTGTTGCTTACTTCTACTTTATAATTGTCCATTCTGTTATTTTCTTTCTTTCTGTTTGCAAATTATCTCCATTAATCCATAGAAAACAAGCAGTTTACGTTTGTATTTCTTCGTATTTCGAACGCGCACTCCTTGAAGGCAGCCATATTGCAAATATAAACATCCACTTGACGAATAAACTTTTCATATTTCACTCTATTTCCAACGACCAATCAAATCACTTCTTCCTCGGCTTGTCCCAGGGTTTACGGCAACGCAGGCAGCCGAGAAGCCCTGGGAACGAGGATGGATGCAAAATGGATGCCAGTGATGCCAAATCGAATCTAACGTGACGTAGGTGACGTCAAAGGATGCGGATGACTTCAACTGTGACGTCAAAGGATGCGGTAAAAAATAACATATTTTGTCGTGAAAATATTGACGCTTAAGTGTCGCAAAATAACAGAAAGAACACATTTGCGATCGCACGTCGCATATTGGACTTATTTTGGCAAATTCGACTGTTATTGAGACTATTTAAATTGGATTTCATCCTAAATAGTGTATTCCTGACATGGAGTCAATTTTAAGCAAAGATTTGCGGGTTGATAGGAGTTTTATTACTGAGTGCTTTGAGTATTGGCGACATTATATATCTATATATTTCAAGCTACATGAATCATGATTTCTCAATTTTGACCGATGCATTCGCATCGCTGGATCGGTCTGGATCCGCCCCTGGGCCTGACACAATGTCTTTGAAAGTCGATGCTTTCTTATTATCGAGCAATGTCCATGCAAATTACGAGCATCACATGCATATAAACAAAAATCAAATAGTCATAGACCTCAGTTCTGAGAACTCGAGAACATATTTTTAATTGGAATTCCTAGCCGATAAAATAATAATATATCACGCAATCGTGCAATATTGCAATCCCACAAAGCTGCGACGAGAGACGAAAAAAAGTCTTTCAAAATATGTCTAAAAGTCTTTCAAAATATATTGAATTAATTAAAGAAATTTCTCAATAAGTGTACATCAGGGGCGTAGAAAGCACCTGGAGTTTGGGGGGGGCACCGGCTTGTAGGGGCACATTACTATCGGAAAGGGCACCTAAAAAATTTTCCCCGGAAATGTTGTCGACGGGGGGGGGGAGAGAAATTTCTCCTGAGGAAAATTTTCCGTCGTATCATACCGAAATTTATGTTTGTGACCTAATTTTTAAAAAAAAATTGTAAATTTCCACACAAAAACGGCGCCTATTGTTTTAATTTAGTATTTACAGCGACATTAGCTTCTACAAAAGGGGCACTTTTCCTCACAAAAAAGGGCACTTTTCAACACAAAAAGGGCACTTTTTATCACAAAAAAGGGCACTTTTAGTCCTTTAAAAAAATTTGGGGGGGCACGTGCCCCCCGTGCCCCCCCCCCCCGCTTCCTACGCCCCTGGTGTACATGCTTGTGTGTATGTCTCTGAGTGTGTCCATAATCATACACCGGGCAAGCTGAAAAGTTTGCTTGGCCGCGGTGGCAATCGAACTCTCGACCTTTAGTTTGCTAGCTTCGGAAACTACTCTCGTTCGATATGGCTGATAACCAACTCTACACATGCACGTCGTTGTCTACCGGTTAAATATAAGGGTTAGTAGCTCAACCAATTCAATTTCACTCATATCGAATACACAATCATGAGCTAAACGTCCGTGATGACAACGTTGGCTGTGGCTGTGTATAACGAACCAATTTATTTGCAAATTAGTTGCAAATCGTCGTGGTTTTAATTATGCTTTTCTACCAGTGCCTGCAACCTATTAATACTTCCATTATGTTTCTATGGGGTCAACAAATTAAATTGCACACGCGAATTCATCTTTGAAATCTGATTGACCATCACACTAATTAATTCTTGTTCATGCCTTCATGGTTTCACAAATATTACTGCTACATAAATGCTAATTTAATTTCCAGGTTGTAGTAATTCCCAACAATGAATCTATGAAAAATCTTCCGAAGATAGAAGGCTTGGTTTCTTACCGGTCTGACGAGAGGAAGTTGTATTTTAGAGGAAATTCGAAATGGAATGCCATCGGAAAACAAGACGAGGTAAGCTTCTTGTAAAGAATTTCATAAAATTAATGCATGTGTTTGAAAATTAGTGCCTTACAAATGAATACGAATGCATGTTTTACTATAGGAATTACGTACTTAATAATATACATAAAGATATTACTCGATCGACTGTGATTGGTTGATTTCAGTGCAGCTAATCCCAAACAGCAGTGCAATTTTCTGTAATCACAGTGCAATTTTCTGTAATCACAGTGCAATTTTTTGTAATCACAGTGCAATTTTCTGTAATCACAGTGCATTTTTTTGTAATCAGGGTGCAATTTTCTGTAATCACAGTACAAAAATCTGTAACAAACTGATCTGATTGGTGGAAAAACATTGTGATGATTAAATCAACCAATCAGTTTTAAAGCATTTTAGTTTAAAGAAGTAACGGTCACAGATTGCTTCAAAACAAAACAAACATGGCGCCGCGCTACACAAAGTAAAGGTTGCCTTCGCGTGGAAAATATGGCTTTTATCTTTATTTTTAAATGGAAAAGCATTTACCTTAAACAAGACTAACAAAAATTACATAGCTGCTAACGTTGTATAATGTAATGTGATATAACAAAGCCAGGAAAACTTTGCCAGTGGAATGTTCGCTATAAACGCGTAAGTTAAAACTACAATTGTCTCGAACATTTTTGTGTAAATTATTAATAAGTAATAGCATGGTTTCTCGTGAAATTTGGATAAACATGCACTCGTGAGTTTTTCAAAGACCTCAAATAGCACTCGTCGTTCGGACTCGTGCTATTTTGAGGTCATTGAAAAACTCACTCGTGCATGTTATATCCAAATTGCACTCGAAACCATGCTATTACCTATACTTAGTTTAATTAGCTTATTCGAATTTACTCTCCACAACAACAAAAAACCCACATTTTTCTTTTATCAGTCTTGTAGTACTGCACAACATATGATAAAGCGATATAAACTTTTATATAATATTTAAAAGTCACTTTTTAAGATCATTATAATCGTATAAATTTTGTTGAGGACGCCATATAAGCTTTCAGACGGAGATTCCTTTAGATTAAATTGGGATTGAGTCAAAGCACATTTCTCTCTAGGATCGCCATTACAGAGTATCTTTTATTGAGTTCAATACATGGACATGACACGTGACATTAATTACATACATTTAGAATATATTAGTTTATAGTTTTACACTCCCACTTAAACTGATAATTCTAATTACAACAATAAAGTTTCTATGTTTACATGAATATGTGTTGTTGTTTTTGTTAAATTGTTCATTGTTCAATGCAACGCAACATAACTTAATTTTAAGATATTATGGGATATATTTTAAAAGGATATATATCACTAATTGTTTAACTGAACAATTTATCAACCTACAAGATGTCCTATAAACTTACCTACTTTGAGCCTTGTGACTGGCTTGGTGAAGAGATCGGACAAGTTCTCTTCAGATGGTACGTACTTTACATCGACAGTTCTTGACTGGATTTCTGTCCTAATAAAGTGATATCTTATGTCTATGTGTTTGGACCTCTGGTTTTGCGCAGGGTTTTTGGCAAGGAAAATGGCACTTTGGTTATCACAATGGATTATGGTTGGTTCGAGAATAAAGATGCTAAGGAACTCCCCTAGTAATTGCCTAAGAAACTTAGCTTCCTGAACTGCAGCTGCTAGCGCCATATATTCAGCCTCACAGGTTGATAGCGCTACCGTTGGCTGTTTCCTACTTTTCCATGAGATGGCTGGTCCATCTTTTGATAGTTTAAAAACATAACCTGTAATACTTTTCCTGTCTTCCGATGATCCCCAATCAGCATCACAGTACCCGTGCATACTCAATCCCTCCTTAGACTTTTTAAAAGTGAGCTTATTATCTATAGTACCTTTTAGATAACGAAGCACATGCTTTGCCATACAAAGATGGACATTGGAAGGATTTGACATATGCTGAGATAACTTTGTCACAATAAAGGAAAGGTCGGGTCTAGTTGATGTCATCACATAGATAAGGCTCCCAACAATTTCCTGATACAACTTGAGATCAGCGGGTTCGTCTGAATTCCCAGCACTTGCCTTATTGACTCCAAGTTCGCTTGGAGTCACCCTTGGTTTGCATCCTTCCATTTTGAACCTAATTAAAATTCTCTCGATGTACCTAATCTGATCCATAGTTATAGTGTTGCCAGTAAAGGTAAAATTAATACCTAAGAACCATGAAAGTATTCCAAGATCTTTCATCTTAAACTTACAACTTAAATCATCTTTCACTTGTTTTAGTGAGGGTGTTGAATTGGATGCTATAATAATATCATCTACCCATATAAGCAAAATAGTTTTCTTGCCATTTTGTTTCTTAATATACACGCAAGGGTCAGAAACAAGTTGTGTAATGCCTTTACTGGTCAAGAAAGTGTGCAACATATGGTTCCAGTTGCGCCCACTTTGTTTGAGACCATAAAGTGATTTGTTAAGTTTACATACTAACATTTCCCCAGACTCACTGTGTTTGACAAACCCTTCTGGCTGCTCAATATACAGTTCACAGTCGACTGGTGCATTGAGGTACGCCGTCTTGACGTCCATTTGATGCACTTCCATGTCAAGGTCTAGGGCCAACTGCATCAACATACGGATTGATGTTATCTTTGCTGTTGGTGAAAATGTTTCAAAATAATCAACTTCAGGTACTTGTGAATACCCTTTTGCGACGTAGCGTGCCTTA